TGAAAAGTAATAAGCTGGAAAACATCTGGAGCCCCCCCCGGAATCAAAACACTATTGCCTCCTCGCCCAACAACATATAGGTTGGTCGTATTTAAAATTTAAAAGGGTCTGAGCTGTATGGACAGCTGCCGATTTCCCCCCCCCCCCTCTATTTTTTTCTTTCCTTTTCTTGCCAACTTTTGCAGCAGTTTTCCAACTCAAAAATACATATTGCACTGGCCCATAACATTATTACTAGTGGTATATTTTATTGTACTGAGATTTTATAAAATGTAAAATTGGAGTACATACGAGTTATGGCGTAACAATGGCGGTTTCAATGAGGTCAATGACCTCCAGCGAGAATGGCGGGAAACCGGATCAGCTGTGGCAGCTGTGACAGATCAGATGAACACACCCACGCACCAACCCCCGCGGACCGTTTGGAGCTGTGCGGTGCCCCGATAGTTGGCCCGAAGTCTTGGGGACGCGAAGTGCGCTGTGCGCGTGCTGGCCGCCGCCATGCTCTCCTTATTTGTGGTGCGGAAGCCCAACAAGGTGCAAAATATCTACTGGTCGGAGGACGGCTACGGCTACAACATCACGCCGCCGCGGGCCGACAACACGGCTATATTTCGATGCCGAAAATATAACGAGACCAAGTTTGCGCTGAGCTGCCCCGCCAAGTGTGAGGCCGGCCCACCTGACGCCGATGGCAATTATCCAAACTATAGGCCTCGCATCGGCCACACATGCAACTGGACAGTAAATGATATGCGGGCCTTTCAAACAACTGAGACAATTAAGGAGACCTGCCGCAGTCTCAAAGCTTCAATGGTCAGAGCAATCTTCAATCGGGAAACTGCTGAGTAAGTATTAAGTAGGTAGTATGTTGGATTTATCAAACCAAGCCATTGATCTGTCGAGGTAAGGAGGTCCCCTCCGAGGGATGCGCCTCCCCTCCCCTCCCCTCCCCCACCCTCAATATACCATAAGAACCGATTTCTAAAATATTTTGACACAAATTTTGGAATTTTCGAGACGGCATTTTTTTACCCATGTTCCCGGTAGTGTTGCTGGTAGCCCCAACGAACTTACCGCAGGGTTCGACCACCCTCTAAACTCACCCCTTTGGAGGTGTAGAAGGAGTCCACTCAGAAAATTTTTCCGGCGATATCGTTTTGACATAGGTTTCCACGTCGTTGGCGATCAACTGTAGTATCGCCAACGATGAGAAAACCGATGTCGAAATGATATCGTCGAAAAATGTCTGACTCGGGGTAGGGGTGAATGAAGGGGTGGGTTTGCCCAAGAGACCCAATCGCCAATGAAGGATTCCGCTGTAAAGCTGAAATGAAGAAGAGATGCCTCGAGATCGGTTCGAGATGCATGATAAGGACAGCTGCCTGCCCAATCTTAGCTTTCTTGCTCGAACTCCATTGAAATAGGGTATTTCAATGGAGCGCTGCCCGGAACAACGAAGAACAAAAGCGGTGGTGGGGGCGGGCGCGCGGAGGAGCGGAGGGCGGGCGGGGAGGCTGCCCTCCTGCCGCTCTCTGTATCCGCTTTTGTTCTTCTTAGTTCCCGCAAATTTTGAACAGCATTGTAAGTGCCCGTTGTCAGGATCTGTTTGCATGGTAGTCAGGCTGGTTGTGAGAATAGGGTATTAGACCGTCCACCGCTTGCAAACAGTTTCTTGAATTTTGGGGCCCCGGGTCTTAATCGATTCTCTATCGAAAAATAAGAGTTACGTGTGTCGGCGATTTTTGATTTTCGCAAAATTAGACAGTGCGCCGCCCTCTTGAAGTTTTGACATATTTTTTTTTTTAGGTATAAACCATAATTTTTTGGGTTTTGACACTTTTCAGTCAAATTCCAACTGATTAGACTTTAAATATGTATGAAGAACACAAAGGTTTCTAAAATCGATAAATTTATTGCTCCAATTTAGTATATATACACATTAAATGAAATTAGAATTTGTGGAGCTTTCTATCTCTATGTGTAACTAAAAGCAGATTCTGAAAATTGATTTATAAGTTTGTTGATTCCAGAAATCTTTGTGTTCTTCATACATATTTTAAGACTCATCAGTTGGCATTTGACTGAAAAGTGACGAAACCCGATAAATAATGGTTTATACCTACCGTCTACCTACCCCTGGAGGGTAGGCAACAATGACCGGAGGATAAGCAATCCGGTGGATCTACGAAAAGGTGTGTTCGGAGCTGCACTGCCTCAGGTGAAATACCCTATTAGTTCACTTCTCTGTAGCACTTTTCTGAAGTTTGTATTGACTGATAACTGGCTCACACTTCAAGTACTCAACACTACCTCAGGTGTCGCCTGAAATAACTGTGACCGTATTCCCTAAGATATTTATTGGCATGCACTTGATGTATCCAAGGAAATACAGTACAATTTTAGTTTCACATTTGGATGTTTGTCTTAATTAAGACAA